AAAATTAGATCATTTTGGTATGCAAAAGATATTACGTACCAAATAAAGCAATAAACTTAAATCTGAAGTCCTCCAGCAGGGAGGGCATTGTCTACTATGTTTCTTTGCATGGCCAGAGTTTCAAGGGCCCAGCCTCCATTATCACAGCAATTGCCAAAGCACCAAAACGTGGTGAAGAGATGGCAAGAAACAGACCATAATCAATATCCGTAATTTGTAAATGATGAGACAGAAAATAGAAACAACCAGTTTCTAAGCCAACAAAAAGGAAACAGAGAGCAAACATTTTGATATCTGAAAGCAGTTCTTTCCCCTTACTCCAGAGACATGAACCACCCTGTAGGGCACAACAGGCACTCCCAGGGAGTCCCATGGAAAAGGTGAGAACAAATGCGTGACAGAGGCATAACAGGTGTTCTCCAACTCACTTTCTCCTTCTCTTCAGGTCCTCATTTTTATTCCATGTCACCCTCTAAATGCAAACTTCAACCTGAAGAGCCAGTAAATGACCAAACTTTCTAGAGGAGTTGTTTATACTAACTAGGTAGAAATGATCATTTTGGAAGGAGAAAAATTGCTACTATGATCATATTTTGTGATCTATGACTTCAAGTCTTTTTTGATGATGAAGTATAAATAACATACAAATAAGTGAATAAACCACCAATATTCTAATCACACTCCCCAAAGGTGATCAATACAAACCATGGAGTTGGAACATTGCCTTCTGCCATCCAAAAGAAAGGTTCCCAGGCATCAAAATTGTTCTTAACTTGGTTGAAATGCTATTTTCCGGTGCCACCCCCCAATACCCTCCCAAAAAATAATTTTTTTATGTGGTGCTTTTCTGTCCAGTAAGCTAACCAATTCTTTCATTCTCATATATGATTACACAAGAGAATTTAAACACAACTTTAAAAAAAGATAAAATCTAAGCAAGCCAAGATTAATCATAGCTCCGTGACTTGTTAAAAACAAAGCTTTTACTGAATATGACCACTAAAGCTGTCCTCAGAGCATCAATATATCAAGATTCTTAAAATACATTAGTCAAAGAGAACAGCTACCTCTTAGGCACATAATCATCTGTGCCAGCATCTGGTTGGCAGGTGGCAGGCATTAAATGTTAATCTCCAGAAATTTAAACTTTACAAGATTGTGCTTTAAATCTTGAGAACAACCTATCATTACTCAGAGGAAGAAAATAATCAGACCTAGTATCTCTTTGGTAAAAAAAAAAAAAAAAAAAAAAAAAAAGTTAGTATTCATGGAAATCTAAACCCTGTTACACAATCACCTTCTAAGTTATAAACACTTCACTTACCCTAATGTCATCAGGCAGCACATTGCCTGCTGACTTCTCACTCACGACTTATTCAGCATCTCAGGGCAACTTTTGAAGGGCAACTAAACTGTGCTGGGCCAACAGTGTCCCCTGGTGGTCACCATTTCAAATTGT